AGAGTGAAATCCAGGAGTGTATGACTCTAGAGTTGAAGGAATTAACAAGGTGTTCTGCTGAAGAACAGAATCAGAAGTCCCCCAAATACAAGCAGCTGGCTGTTGACCTAATGGCTGAGGTAGAGACTACTCATCTCAAGGCTGAAGAGTGCCTATGACCATAACATCCTGCCAATATGTAATGGCATGGATGCCAAAAAGTACTTGTATGTACTCAGCCAAAAGATCAAGTTAGAGGTAATAAGATGTCACTGGAAGAGGAGGTTACTTGCCCATTGTTTCTAAAACTGGATAATATTAATTAAATCAATAACATGAGTCTTTTGCTATTATTAATCACTTAAAAAACAGGATATAACTGAATAGAGAGCACATGAAGTCTACTAGTATCAATTTAGGTTCAAATTTGAACAGGTCCCAGGGTTGCTTCCATCTCTGATTACTTTTCATGAAAACTGGTAAAAGAAAGGACTTAATTGAAAATCAAAACTTAAAAAAACAAACAAAAAACCAAAACACCTTTCCCATATTTTATCACTGTAGAAAGTTACTTTTGGAAAAATCACTGGACCAAAATGCACCTTAGCAGTCATCTAGCTCAATTTTCTATCCTTCATCTTACCTATAGCAGTCTCCACAAGCAGTATCTACTTTCTGTCTGATTCATAGCCCTGGGCTCCCCTGAGGCAAACCATTCTACCATTAAGTAGCCAACGTATGTTCTTTCCTTATTTAGTTGAAATCTGCCTTCCTATAAACTTCCTTTTGGCCCTCTTGAAAATATAGTTTCTGCCCCTTGAAAGTATAGTTTATATCGATTTTTTTTCTTCCTGACAGTCTTCCCTAAACATTTGGAAACACCAGGTCCTCTTCCTGATGGTTTCTTATAAGCTAAACATCTAAGTTACTGTCCTTAATCTTAGGCAAGGGTGCCAGTGTTCCCCCAAAAGCTGAATATTTAAGTCTCCAGATAAAGTCTGATGAGCTCCCAAAAGTGGGGGCTATTCTTATTGATGGTGTGGACACTGACATTCTTTACTTACAAGACTATGCTGGTTCCCTCAGTATTTGTAACATGGACGATTAATTTTAAGCTTGATGGTACATGAAAACTTTTAGATTTTTTCTCAAGTGAGCTGTTGTTGAACAAGGGTGTGAACTCCCAATCTGTGTAAATGACTATAAAGATATGTTCATAGAATAATTTATTTTGCTAGCTATGATCCCACTGGTATCAATATGGAATTGGTGGGAATCCAATTCTCACCACCTTTATGAAAATTACTCTACATATTTTCTGGGATCATCTGGCACATGCAATCTAAAAAACAATTTGTTACTTACTCATTAGCATTCAAGCTAGCTGTGGCTCTGATGATCATGTAGCAGAGTGTGAGAGCACTGAGGAGGCCAAAACTGGCAATAATAAACCATTCTTCTGTTGACAAAGGAAAGGGAGGAAATCATTCTGGGGAGAAGGTTAAGTCAAATTGATGTCAACATTTCCCTCAAATGCAACGAAGCAGACGTCAACGGAGGTGTAAGCCAAGACTGGCTCAAGGAAGTGAAGCAGGAGGAGGTTTGCCAGAGAGCTACTAACTGGAGAAGGTTAGTGGAAGTACTGGTAAAAGCTGCAAGGGAGAGAGGAAAGCATGGCCCAACCATTTCTTCCAGTTTAGGTTCTGAGGTACGTGAGAAGTATGGCCACCAAAAATTGTGTAGGAAAAATATGTATATAAAATTGCACATGGACATATTTATTTTCATTGTTAACTGAAATGACGATAGAGTAACCATACTTATAACCATCTTTTAAATTTCACTTTGTCATTTCTGCATGGTTGATTCACTCATTTCTAGCTAGCTAAATGCTCAGAAATATGGCATAGTGGCTCTCAAAGGTCTTGTGGGCACTCCAAGCAGTCTCCAAGTTTGCCTTCCAAGATACCACATCTACAATTTTTTCTCTTATGTGCAGGTTTCCACAGGACATTAAAAGGATATCTCACTGGGTATAAAGAAAATGAGTACCACCCTTTATGAGTCCACTGCGGGAAGCAACACTTGTTTTTCTGGTGTTGAAGTGAAGTAAGAAGGGTAAGTGACTGACAAGGTACTGAGCCCACCAAATGGTTGAAAATCTCTGGTATACAGAGATCTAAGGCTATCTATAGTTCTCTCTATGGTCAGTCAGTCAGTCAGTCTCTCTCTCTGCTTCTTCCTCTCTCCATCCAGGAAGTCAGTTACTATTTCCCCTTAACTTTAATATTCAGAAAACATTTATTTGGGACCTCAAAATCAACCTGAGAATCATTATGACTTCCTAAAGTCTTTTTTTTTTTTTTTTTTTGGTGGTACTAGGGATTGAAACAGGGGCATTTAACCACTGAGTTATATCCCTAGTCCTTTTTATTTTTTGAGACAGGGTCTTGATGAGTTGCTTAGGGCCTTGCTAAATTGCTGAGGCTGGCTTTGAACTTGCAATTCTCCTGCCTCAGCCTCTTGAGCTGCTGGGATTGTAGGCATGTACCACCATGCCTGCTCCTAAAAGTCTTAAGTAGAAAATATTTCTTAAGAGTATGCACTAACTAAGGCTGGTATTACTCAGTAAAATCCCCTTGATGTCTGTAGTAAGGCGAGAAGAAACATTTACACTTGGAACACCAAATCTTCATGTGCAAAAGTTTTGTGTAACATGGTGTTTCTTTATCTGAGTTTGGAAAATCCTAAAACTGTATGCAAAATTGTGTATGCATTGACACTTTTCTAGAAAAAGGATTCTGGCTTTTAAGGTAATGACCTTAAATGGTTAAGACAGATTGCTCTTCATGATTCCAGGATGCTGAATTTGTTCTACATGCATATCTTTGTCCTCATCGAAATTTATATTATTAAAATGCTTAGTAAACTCTTAGTGTAGCCACTGTCTTTTGGATTAGTTTTCTTCATCATCAAATTCAAGTTTTTTATTTATATCAAAATGAACCTCTGAGAATTCATGTAAAATCCACCACTTTAAACTATATATATATTTTAGGTTAGAAATATGTATACTGAACCTTTAAAAAATCAAGAGATGAAAGGTTATCAACATCAAGGAGCTTAACACAGCATTCTTTTTGTCATATTAAAAACTTTTTTTTTTTTTTTTTGCCTTTTGAAAGAGTTGGGGATCAAACCCAGGGCCTTGCATGTGTTAAGCATGCTCTCTACCACTGAGCTACATCCTTAGCTCATATTCTTAGAGACTTTTGTACATGATATAAGCAGACTGACATTATTTATAACTTCAGCTGTATATTTTTGTCTTTTTTTTTTTTTTGCTATGAGTTCACTTACAAAAACTAGTTAAATGAAGGAGGAAGTAAACATTCATAATAATACCCAGCAGGCTCAGGAGTACTTAGCAATGATCTACTGCAGCCAGAACCTTGGTAGCCTCTGTTCTCTTAACTACTTATTTAGCACAGTGCCTTGCACACAGTGGGTGCTGGGTGAATGTACTGTAGTTGGTATGGTGCTACAGGGATTTGGAGGGAAAAGCAGAGGTAATTTGGATCTAGCTTAATCATACAAACTTTACTTATTGGCATCATCTGTAAATTCTGCTAAAGGCAATTAATTTGGTACATGAAGTAATATTTTATCATCAAAAGCATAAGATTTTGAGGACATTTCTGTATACAATATTAGAAGGTCTGTACTTTATGTAGTAGTAGGTGCTCAATAAATGTCTGATCAATGAAGGACTTACAAAAAACTCAATAAACAAATAACCTTCAACTCCTTTATTATTAGATTCAATTTTTAAAATTTAAAAAATCATAAAAAATAAATAAAATAAAATAAAATCTAGATCACAAAACTTCAATGTCGAAGTAGGAAAACCATGAAATGCTATTAAAACAAATCACTGGGAAATGGCAAGAAATGAGCCAAACCATATCAAAGAACAGTTTTACTTATTTCAAACTGCATGAAGGATTTGGGAGTTCAGATAACTGATCAAATAAAACCTGAGAAATAATTTTCTAATAATTATCTTTGGTTGGTTCTACAAACCACATGAGTCTTAATACATAAGGAAGACTTATTCTGTAACTATTTCCCCCCATTTTACTGACTCCCAGTTGCAAGTGAAGCCCCATCAGCTTCAAGGATTGAAGCTCTAGGCAAGGCAACAGCATAAATTGGAAAAGGCAGCACCAGAGCAGCGACGAGAGATGGGTGACAGGTTGTTAGATGGAAATTGCGCGTAAAGAATGAAATTGAAGAAAAGAGTTGGCTTGTTACTGGGTGAATTTCTACAAAGTCCATACACACACCATTGGCCCACTCACACCATATGTAGGCATTCCCTTAAAACACTTTGTACATTTATTTTCTGTCAACAGTTCAACAATCAAGATGCTTATAATGAGCTCAGACATTTCTTTTGAGGCAGGTTACCCTTTGGCTTTTCTTCCTTCTCATGTACAATTATAGCAAAGGGTTAAGTACCAAGAGACCAAACTTCTGAAAAAAAATATAAAATAAACAATGACATGCCATCTCAATTGTTCCTGAAGCCTTGAAATTTTAGGTTTAAATTCTAAATTAGGTTTTTACTAAGTGGCCTGCAGCGTGGGAGATCAAGAGCACCAGTGCTCAGCTACCTAACATACCAGCATTGATACTGCTGGCCTACGTCACATTCCAATGTCTCCTTAACTGTCTGTTTGCAATGCAAAGATTTCAAAACAAGGTTTATAAAGCAGCTACTAAGACAAACCTCTGAACAACTGTTCATCTAGTACAGCTATTTCTATTAATCAAACACCAATACACAAGCATCTTATTATAAAGTTCCATTATTCCAAACATCTGTTTTAACAAAAGTAATTACCTTCTCAGTTACAAAGCTGCTGGCCCAGGTGGACTCATCTCTCCCCTTGGCAGTCACTGCATGCCCAAACCAAGCAGCAACTCGCCCTGTGCCTGGGTAAAGGGTCCCCACTTACTTGTTACTGCAATGTTGATTTCTCCTGTTCTAGGAGTGAGCTCCCCATCCTGAGGAAGAGGTGATATCCCCGAAGTTCGAAGTGGCTCAAGGCCAAGGGAGGTGTCATTGGCGAGGTCACCTAGGGCTGATCTTCGGTTAACTGCTTGGGTTCTGGTGAGCCTTTCCATATCAAATGCTACATTATCAGTACATGGCAGATTTGGCTGCAAAATATTTCCAGGTTAAAAATAATTGTAAAAAAACAAGTTCTTTCATAAAACCCTGAATGTCTGATACCCTATTGCAAGGACTTCACCAAGTTCTTTCCATGCAATTTCTTCTTATTTCACTGCCTATCTATGTTTTCTACTCTCACCTAAAAGATTTTCTTCAAAAGGACCAGTTCATTTCCCAAAAGAAAACCAAAATCCACTGTAGAAACTGAGAAAACTGGCCAGTGATTTTTTTTTTTAAAGATAACCCTTTATGGACATGACTTGTATGCACAGGGAATCATAATCATTATTATAAGGCTGACTAATTAATATTCAATTAAACACCTTTATTTTATTTATTTTTATGTGGTGCCGAGGTTTAAACCCAATGGCTCATATATGCTAGGCAATATATGGTTGAGTTACAACCCAACCCCCTAATATTCAGTTTAAAAAACAATGTACTATATTACTTTGATTAATGTTAAATGTTAATGTTAAGGAACAGCTGGAATATAAAATGCCCCTCTCATCTTAAAGTAGATCAAAGTTGAAAAGACTTTTAAATTGAAAGAAAATGTTCTATTTCAAAATCTAAACAACTAATCCTGAAGGAGAGGTATACAAATACTTGGCGCCAAAGTCTACCATTTAAAAAGTAAGTATAAAATTCTTCTTTTTTGTACCAGGGATTGAGCTCAGAGATGTTCAGTCACTGAGCCACATCCTCAGTCCTTTTTTATATTTAGAGACATGATATTCCCAAGTTGCTTAGGGCCTTGCTAAGTTGCTGACACTGGCTTTGAACTCAAGATCCTCCTGCCTCAGCTTCCTGAGCTGCTGGGATTACAGGCATGCTATAATCTTTTATATAGCTAAGCTATATTATCTCTGACAGGATCTCTGGGGACTGAGGATAAATGGGGCATTACTGTCCAAATGTACAGCACTTAAACTGTGATTTGATAGTATATTTAAAATAGGACTACTTAAATTTCTTTGGATTGCAAAGCTAAAATGAGGAGTTCATCTGTTCAACCAAACTCAGCTGTTGAGAATATTCATTTATTATATATGTATTTTTAAAATATTTTTTTAAGTTGTAGATTTATGTGGTGCTGAGGATCGAATCTAGTGCCTCACATGTGAGGCAAGCGCTCAACCACTGAGCTACAATCCCAACCCTCATTTATTATATTTTTGCAACCAGAAAGTATTTTATTTTCCTCTAAAAAAGCACAATCCTGGATATATACTTCTTTTAAGGAAATAAAAGAAGTCTCTAAAGTTCTTGGTAAGTCAGGGTTGGTCTTTGCACTGTCAGAGCCAATCTCTATGCCAATAGTTCTGTCAAAACTCTTTGCCAGGTTGTTAAAAGTTCTTCTGAATCTTTTGTAATCTATAAGAAAGGTACTTGTTGGACTAACAAGGTTATCTGGCAAAAAAAAAAAAAAAAGCCAGTGTATTCTTGTGAGACTGTCATATCTCCTATTATAACAAATATGTTATGTTGTATTACAATTAGATAAGATATTATGCAAAAGCAATGACAAAATTGGAAACATACCACAATTCCCAGAGCCTTCAAAATATTAAGTTTGCACATAGGACAGGTACAATGTTCACTAAGCCATGGATCCACGCATGATTTGTGAAAAACATGCCTATAAAATAATGGAGAATTATGTTATAAATTTTATATTGAAAAACTGTTAGGTCAAAATGAAAACAATGAAATTTTAAGTTAGTTTGTTTTTCCTCCTTTTAACACATTTACAATACCCCAAAGACAAATACTGGAGGTTTATAAAAATATAACTTCTAGGGCTGGGGCTGTAGCTCAGTGATGGAGCACTTGACTAGTATGTGTGAGGCACTGGGTTCGATTCTCAGCACCACATATAAATAAATAAATAAATAAATAAAGGCCCATCAACAACTAAAACACACACACACACACACACACACACCCTTTACAGAAAATCTAAACCCAATCTCATGTATGAATAGTACTATGTGATGAGAACTAATGAGTAGGAGATCATTGTTTGGACGTTTTTATTTTGCAGTTGTGGGGATAGAACCCAGGCCCTTGTGCATACTAGCTAGGCAAGCACTCCACAACTTAACTACATACTGATCCTATTTATTTATTTATAAATAAAAAAGAGACAGGGTCTCATTATGTTGTCCAGGCTGGCACCAAACTCCTGGGTTCAAGCCATCCTCATGCCTTAGCCTCCTATGTAGCTGAGACTACAGGCTCACACCACTGTACCCAACTTGGACTTTTTATCCTACCAAATTCCAAAAAAGACTTGAGGAAACCTAGCAAATTTATTAAGAATAATGATATTCATACTTTGTAAATCAGTTATTCTTCTTATAATAATAGCTTATATAGAAAAATGGAATTTTGAGAACATATTAAGCCAGGGTTAAAATCAAGAGTTTTCTGTGTAAATTATTAATTAGTTTCATGGAACTCAATCTATGTTAAATATTTGTAGAAGTCACAGGGCAGCTGGAACTATTTTAAGGAGTGAACTGTGCCTAAGAATCAAATAACACTTGGCAAATTTCAGCTGAAACTTTGTGTGTGTGTGTGTGTGTGGGGGGGTGGGTAGACATGGGTGATTTCCTCTCACATTCAGAACAGAAAATTACATCCTCGGGACAAGAAATAAGTCAGCCACAGAAGGGTTTGAATTCTTAGAAGAGGAATTTGTGCCCTTCAGAGGGAGAAATGACTTTGAGGGAGCTACAGAGACTATTCTGCAAGCTCAAGAACCCCTGGCTGAGAGCTCTGAGAAGCTGTAATTGAGACTGAAAGAAGCTTGGGGTCCTTGACAAATTGGGAAAGGAGTAGACACCAATACAGACTTTCAGGACACTTTTGGAAGACACACTAAAGTCTTAAGTTTAGAGTAAGGGAAATTTTGAGAATGATACTAAATTAGACCATGGTATGTCTTTAAAACCCCGATTGTTAATTTATAACTTAAACATTATGATTGCTGTTTTGAAAAATGCAGTTTTGGTTTAAAATGAGGTCTTTTTTGGGATTTGGAGTAAATATTCATGCATAATAAAACTTCAGTCAACAATATATACTGCTCTTCCATCACCACTTGATGACCTTGTATCATTTAAGGGCAGAAATAAAGACTGTGAAGTCTGAATTTATCCATGTAGTCTGAAACTCGCAGATAATGCATTTATCCAGAAACTCATCATACTTGAGGGCTTTTATTTTAACCTTAAGGTTTTTACTTAAGAGTTTGAGTGCCAGTAATCTGTAAGGAAGACCTAAATTAGTTTAATACATATAAGGTGTTGTGCCTGCTTCTTATTACTTGTATCCATGTATGGGGAGTATTTTAGAGTGAGATGAAGAGTTCCTTACTGCAGGGCTCAACCCCAGGGGGCATCCTCACTTTTCAGCAGTCAAGGTTGGCTGCAATCCAAACTAACTTAAGACTAGAACAAGGCTTTAACCCTTTTGGGGGATAGATCCCTTTAGATCTGATATAAATTATAGAACCTCCTCATAAAGTCACAAGGGTGCCTAATATCTTACATGTACTTTGGGGGGGCTTATAGACCTCTGAAGGTTTGGCTAATAAACAGGAGGGAGTGGAGTGACTGGGAATATGTTCCAAGTCAGTTCTGCATAGGGTTGACAATGGGATTTGGCTGGCTGATAGGTGGTAGAAGAGATAAGGTTATGGGACTCTGACCAGGGCCACTTTGGTGCCTAAGTGGGAGGTATGCAAATGGATGGAGGCAGCTAATATGGCCAACTGTGGATGAAAACCCTATTTTAAGCAAGTAGCAGCTACCTGGGGTAAACAATGGTTTGGCTCTAGCACTCCCTGCTCTGGCTGCATTTCTATTACTGGTTATTCATAGAGAACAAAATGGTGTGACTCCCAAATTTAATTTCTAACTCTGCATGAATGGAGTGTTCTCTACCTATCTGTTCCTTTAAGTGAACTCATTAAATGAATCTCTTATGTTGTGGTTCTTGAGTAAATCTTTCCTTGCAGGTTTGCATATCTGAAAGAAAAAGTGCCCACTCTCGGTTTTATTAGACAATTACAATCTCTCCTCTCCTCTATGTTATGAGGCACTGTAACGAAAGACAACAGACTAATGGGTTCTCTAGGGACAAACTAAGAAAACCTTCCTTAGCTAGCTCAGAATCTGAAAGATTCTGAAAGATTCATTTAAAAAAAGCTCCTTTTAGCTATTTGCACATCCCCACACCCCAAGTCAAATAATCACCCCCAAACTCTGCTTCCTCTGACCTAGAACTTTTCTTTAGATTCCCTACCAGCTCAGCTCCTGTGCATCTCAACCCAGATCTTCAGTATCAACTCTTTTAGCACATTCTGCTTTTGGAGACAAAACTGAGCACTTGTTCTTTGTAGTCATCAGTCCTCTGACATAGCCCCCCCCTCCTACCATCATCTTTATGAACAAGTACCCAGAGCTTGATGCCTTCTCTTCTTCATCACCTACTCTCTTCATCTTCTTGCTTTTGCATCCTCTGCTTTATTGTTTCATCAAACCAAATATGGCCTTTCCCTCCCTGCTGCTATAACCATCAGACCCTTGATCGACTACACTTTCTGCCTCCCCACTGCCTCACCTGAAAGCTGTGTGGTCAGTAATGGGAAAGGTGGACTTAGTCTAACTCATGAGGTTATCTGGAACAATAAATGAAAAACTATATATGGAATACTGAGAGAAGTATATCAAGGGCTGTGTGAATGAAAGGTACATTAATTAAACAGGCAAAGCAATGTAAATATTTTACATGGCATCCCAGTAAATGGTAGAATGCTCTTATGGCACACCCTGGGCCCCAGAACATCTGGTGGGGTGACTTTTCCCTAGCCAGAGGGTGGATCGTGGACATTTAGAGATTTCAGAAGGTGGCACCTGAGGCAAGTTAAAAAGGAAACCACTTCCATTGTTAAAATGAAAGACTTCAACAACAAAAAAATACATAAAAGCAGAAAAGGCCCTAGCACATTTAGGGTTGAGTCTTGTACTGCAATGGGAAGCAGGTGATGTGCTGAGGAGCAATGAAACGTGAAAAGGAGCTTCAATCAGAGCTTCAACCAAAAAAGTTCTTTATTCCTATAAGAAATACTTTGGGATACAGAATGCAAAATATATAGAACATGAAAGAAACAAAACCTGTAATACTGAAATACAATGCCCTTCCCCTTTCCTATTTCTCACATAGCCATAAACTAGAGAGGTCAGAAAAACAGCAGGACTGGGGTGAGGAGTCTACATTGAAGGTGAGTTGTTTCACAGCTCTGCAGCCTCTGGGTGCCGTGTTAAGGACCTGGCAAACAAAAGGATCCAAGATTATTAAAAGTCAGAAACAAGAATTCCTTCCCCTAGCCAGGACTGACAGTAGATACATAGAAGCAGGCCCTCCCTCCAAGGTGGGGGTGATAGAGCAGCTCCTCAACAGTCAGCAGCCAGTTGACTGACCCATTTTAGCTCCCAAGCTAACATCTTAAATGTGTATTTCTCCAGGCTGCAGCACTCTACTTCTAAAAAGAGTATTTTTACCCACTAAAAATTTTGTGGCTAACCTTTAAATAAGATGACTGTTTGTTTCTAAGACATGCTGGCTAAAGTCCAAAGGATGATCAACTGTAATCAACTGATATAAACAGGAGGTCCCCAAAGCATAGCCAACTGCCATCTGTCCACAGTAAATTAGTGCAATAGAGAATGAAAAGTAAAGGTCATGCGACAAAAAAACCCAGCAATCCATGAGAGGTCTGATATCTATAGATAGAAAGGCTTAGTTCAGTTTCCAGAAAGCCTTTCTTATAAAAATGAAGGACAGAAAGACACAATGCTTCTGGTTGACTTCATCCCTTACTGAGGTAGAGAGGCAGCAAGGGCAAATCCTTCCAAAGACGGCTATGAAGGGGAGTCGCTATAGGCAAGTACATGGAGGGTGATGAATTTGAAAGAGTTTTTGAAACTGGAATAGAAAATGCTTGACCATGACTAAAGCTGATGAGCAGAGACAGAAAGAACAAAACTGGAGGGAGCAGATAGAGAATCAATACAGCAAGGTCTCAGGCAGAAGGCAAAGAGCTGCAGACAGAGGCCCCCGTAGAAAGAGCAACACCAAACCAGAAGGGGGCTGCCTCCTCCATTCTGACAGGAGGTGTAAGTGTGGATGGCAGTGTGGGGGCAGGCACACTGGAAGTGAGGGAATCCAACCACTATTTCTCTAGGTGAAGTTTACACTCTCAAAGCGAGGAGTAATGGGATAAGTTAAGGTGTTTAAGGAGAATGAAAACACCTGGAAGTGCTGCTGTGATGAACAGGGAGGACAAACAAGGCAGGAGGAGGGCTGTAGGCAGTAACTGAGGCATAGCTGTGGAGTAGAGCCCTGCCTGTCCAATATGTTCAGAGAACTATGGGAAGACACAGAGGGACAGAGATGCATAATAAAGGAAGCATGGCAGGCTTGGGTTCAAAGACCATAGAGACAAAAGAGAAAGGGAGGGTACTGGAGGTAAAAGGAGGATAAGCTGAAGCATGAGGTAAGAGATTATGCAAAGTAACTTGAGATACATCCACTGGAAAAAAGAAGCTTGGAGAAGATTTGCGGTAAAGAACATTTGTGTGTGGGCTGGGGATGTGGCTCAAGCGGTAGCACGCTCGCCTGGCATGCGTGCGGCCCGGGTTCGATCCTCAGTACCACATACCAACAAAGATGTTGTGTCCGCTGAGAACTAAAAAATAAATAATAAAAATTCTCTCTCTCTCTCTCTCTCTCCTCTCTCACTCTCTCTTTAAAAAAAAAAAAAAAAAAAAAAAAAGAACATTTGTGTGAAGATATCCTCTGCATCAGTGGTCCACATCTGGAGACATTTTTCATTGTCACAGCTGCATGGTGTGGATGCTTTTGTCCTCTAGTAGTTAATGGCCAAAAATATGCTAAATATCGTTGTGCACAAAATCACCTTTCCAGACCCCTCCTCCACACAAAGCATTATGTGATCCCAAATATCAAAGCTGAGAAAACCTCTTATAGGTCAAAGGTTGTCACAAAATATTGCATAATGTGGAGGGCTGGGATTGTGGCTCAGTGGTAGAGTGCTCGCCTAGCACTACATAAAAATAAAGGCATTGTGTTGTGTCCATCTACACCTAAAAAATAAATATTAAAAAAAGAGTTTAAAAAATATTGCATAATGAGGAAATAATTTAATTTTTATTACACCTGAGGATCATACTGTTGTTACCATTCCAGTGAGGTAAAATGTTTTGCTGAGCAGGTTGAACAATATAATTTAGAGAAAGAGGCCACTTGCCCAGAATTGAGGGGTAAGAGTAACATATAACAGCAGGCTCCAAAGCAACATGGAGAACTTTTGACACACAGTCAGGGCAGCAAGCATAGTCAAAAATAAGGGCCAAGACATACAAGTGAACAGTGCTGTTACTAGGGGTGCAAAGAAATTCTGTTAAGTTTGCCAAAATTTCTAATTTTCAAAAGAAGACTACAAATACGAAAGTTGAGAACCAGTTTTCCGGTTTCAGTCACAGAAACAGTTAATATCAACCAAGGCTTCAAGCTTTAATGGAGAATGTGGTCTTATTAAAATAAATATGCCTAGGCTCCATTTAAGGTATTTCTGAAAGCTCCCCTATTGATCCTAATGTATGGTCAGATTTGGAAAGCTCTGGGTTAAGCTGAGGAAAATGAAAAACAAAAACAAACAAAAATCCTCAGAATAAAATTTTGGAAAAACCAGGCTTTAGGGATGGAGAGAATGACAGCAAAATTTCCCAGAATCAACTATTTCAGGCTGAGACTCTCCTGAGGAAGACACTTTCATTTTAGTAATAACTAAATGGCTCCTCCACTCTTTAGGTACCATATGGTTTCAGGGGATCCTGGGATAAGATAAGATGACAGAGAATTTGTAAAGTCTTGGCTTCTTTGTGGTCAAAGTTGGCATTTTCTCACTATGCTTTTTAATTATCCTACTGATCCTTTTCCTGATTTGTATTTGTATATACATTTCCTTTAGCCTCATGTTTTAGATTGTAAATAATTAGAAATAAGAAAAAACTGTCTTGATATAATTTAATTTTCTATAGGACAGCTTATGTTTAGTTTGATAGATTTTCTTTTATGTATAAAGTAGAATGATTTGACTTTTAGAATCTTGGATTTCTGTTTTAGTATACAGAATTATTCTTAAGTACTACAATTAAAAAACAACAATAACAACAAACCCTCATCCAGATCATCCTAGGCTCAGAAGAGATTACTTTGTGACTAAGTAAAGTAAGATCAGTAGCCTTATGGAGACAACTATTCACCAATATTTTAATCATTCACATTTTGTATTATTAGAAGGCTGGGTCAAGTTATGTGGATGTCTTTTAAAGAAAAGAGGGGAGAAGAAAGGAAATTTCTTAGGTGTAAGGCTTATTAGTAGTGTTCTTTTATTCTTTTCCAGATGATGCTTTGAATACTATTTTTTAATGTTTGCATTCCCTAATTTGGGATAAGATCATGGAAGACACCAACATGCTTAAAGAAAGCTCTTTTTAGGCATTAAAGTTTCAGTAAATGCTCTAGAGGGAGGTATGTGGTACTATGAGAGGAGTGCTGGCATTAAAGGTAGACGTATACCTCAGCTGTACCATTTTTTGAATTGTGTGATCTTAGAAACACTATTGGCTTCATTATCCTTCACTGCACAAGGGTACTGTGGCTTGAGTGCCCCACAAAGTTCCATTGTGATTAAAGGCTTGGTCCCCAGGGTGGTGAAGGTGAAGAATGGAATCTTTGAGGAATGGGGCACAGTGAAAGATCCTTCTTAGGTCACCGAGGGGTAAGAGGTATTTCTTGTGAAACCCCCTTGGCAGTTCCCACAAGAGTGTTACAAAACAAGCAAACCTGTCCTGTTTGTCTTCTCTCTCTTTGCTTTTTTTTTTTTTTTTTGGGTGGTGCTGCGGATTGAATCCAGGGCCTTGTGCATGTGAGGCAAGCACTCTACCAACTGAGATATATTCCCAGCCCATCTCTGCTCCTTTTTTAGAGGTGACCATTTGCTTGTATGTGGGTTCACTGTGATGTGCTGCCATCTGCTACCACACCAGAGGCCAAACTCATGGGATCTACCCATTTATGGACTTTTGATCTTGGGCTTTCTATTTAGCCCCCCCAATTGTGAGCTAAATAAACCTCCCTTTCTTCATAGGTAGATCATGCCTGATACTTGGTTCTAGTAACAAAATGTTGACTAATAAAAATGGGAGAACAACAACCTTTTTGGATTATTGGGAAGATCAGAGGAGACAGTAAATGTAACCTGCGGAGAGTACTTGACCCACAGCAGGCACAAAACAAGTATCAGTCAGTCCTTCCACTGTATATAATCTATGTTCAGAAAAAAAAAAAAAGGAAGAAATAAGAAAAAGAAATCCAAATCCCAGAGGAAGATGAACACTCTTTGGGTCTCGCTGTAGGGCCTAGTGAATTCTGATTGAAGATGGAGAGGAAAAGGGGCTGTTTTTGAAACCCACAGAAATCACATAATAAAAACTCTAAGGTTTGAAAGTTTGGAGGTTGTGCCATATGTATTCCTTTTATAATACACGTGCAATCAGTTTTTGTGAGGCAAAACTGGTCTTCGTTGACCACAACCTCCCAATATGAGCAATGTGCAGCAGGGTCTTGGCTGGTTAGAAGAGCCGTTGATTAGGAGGCTCTCAGAAGCAAGTGGACACTCATTCTAAAAGGGAGACATACAAACACATTAATATCATTCTTTTCAAATATACAAAGCTGACATACTTGCAGGGCAGGATCCGAACAACATCATTCTGCTTATAGCTCTCTATGCACACTGCACAATGATCAAAGTCTGGGTCTGTTTCCTGAAACGAAAAGCAAAGGATCACAATTCACATGCTACATGTATAAAATTCAGCTAAGTGTGTTTCTGTGGCAATTATGCTAAGCAAGAGGTGATAAAGTGAATGGTATTAAAAATAATGTTTCCAATTGTTTGACAACACTGATATAAATTATACCTAAGCCAATCTTTTTCTTAAACTTGTATAATAATCAATACTACTTCTGTCTATGATATATCTTAGACTAAGAGTTCTAACTACTGTCAAGATTCACATCAACTGTCACCTTGGATCACCATTATCTCTGCCCACCTCCATTGCCACTGTACTACAGGTTTATCTGAACAGGTTTCACAGAATACTGTACAAAAGCTGGGTCATCATCAGGAGAATCACCTCATCATCTCCTCAAGTACAGGCATAAAGATGGTGATCCCTCTGCAGACTGCTATATAAAGACTTACCCCAGCTATGGGAGCACTGCATCTGGTCACTGATTTGGGGTAGAACTGGATCAACTTAATAATGAGTCTTTATCAAGAGTCAAGGAGCCAGGCATAATGTTATATACCTTTCATCCCAGCTACGTGGGAGGCTGAGGCAAAAGGACCACAAATTGAAGGCCGACTTGGGCAACTTAGCGTGACTTTGTCTTAAAATTTAAAAAGAGCAGGGTAAGTAGCCCAATGTTAACATGCTTGTCTAGCATGTTTAAGGTCTGGGTTTAATACCCAGTACCACCAAAAGAAAAAAAAATTAGGAAAAGTGTGTTCAGTCACCAGGATGATTTCCTTCCTCCTCAGGGCTGAAGAGGGTTCTATCTTAATTATCATAAAACAGCATGCCAACAATCCAAGTCTGGAAAGGTGAACCTATTTGCTGTGTCATTACCACTTTAACTGCAACTCAGTGGTACAGTTCTTGGCAAGTCTAAGAGGTACAAATTAAGATGTGTTGGCTTTAATAATTAACAGAAAGATTCTATCCCTACCCAAACCAAGGGCCTCACACATCTTAGGTGAGTGTTCCTGCTTCAGCCTCTTGAGTAGCTGAGAGTATATGTGTGCACCACTGCACCTGGCTGGTAATATTGTTTGGTGCTAGCGTGGAGTAAGAAAGGTAGGTTAGACCAGCTCCTGAGAATTCCAAAATAATGGCAGTTGAAGACCAAGAAAGACCACTCTTTGGGGTTAAGTACAGCAGCTGTTTTGATGCTGTTTGTATTTTCTGCAAGTGACATTTTCCTTATTCTTTCCTTAGGGTATAATGAAATCCACTACCTCCAGAGCTGTGCCAAAGGCAACTAGATATACTTATGTCAAGGCAGTGGGGATAAAATGAGTAAAGTTAAAAAAAAAAGTGAGAAAACTTAAGACAGAGAATCATCTGAAATTCATCCTTTCAGGACTCTGCTAAAACATTAACACCGGGTATGGAATAGGAGGCAGTTTGAGTTTTATGTCCTTAGATACAATTTTTTCATTCTTGATAAGCCTGAATGACAGTATATAGAAACTTAACATTAAAGGCTATTATTTTGGAGAATCAATGCTCCACCATAACTAGAACTCTAATTATGAAATTTTAGTTAAAATTTTCAGTTATAGCTTTTTGTTACTGCCTTTCTTATTTGGTTTCCTTAAGAAGCAGGCCTGGGCTGGGGTTGTGGCTCAGTGGTAAAGCGCTTGCCTAGCATGTGTGAGCCACTGGGTTCAATCCTCAGCACCACGTAAAAATAAATAAATAAAATAAAGTGTCCATCTACAACTAAAAAATTTTGTTTTTTCCCCAAAGAAGCAGGCCCAACTCTGAAAAAGTGTGTTCTTCTTTTAAAAAAATGCTTAGCATACGGTAAAGAGATCACCCTGTTAACTGAAACATCCTAGAAATACAGGTCTTCAGTTTTAAGGGGGTAAAGAAACAAAACCCAAGAGATGCAAGCAAAAACAAGAAATACAGGCAGATAACACACATCTCCTGACTATAATGACAAAACTGTCCCACAGAATTCTTGGAATAGCCAGCTATGATGGCTCAGGCCTATAGTCCAGCAATTTGGGAGGCTGAGGAAGGAAGGAAGATTGCAAGTTTGAGGACAGCCTCAGCAACTTTGCAAAGACCCTGTCTCAAAATTCAAAATAAAAAGGGCTGGAGTGTAGCTCAGTAGTAACAGTGCCCCTGGGTTCGATCCCTAGTACTGAGAAAGGAAGAAAGGAAGGAAGGAAAGATGGATGAATTAATTCTTGGAAAATGTATGCTGGGTTTTAGAGAAAAAAAATCACAGAGTCACCTATAAGTAGTCTTGTAAAGTTACTAATGACAAAAGCTTTGAAGTCCAAGAAAGTGAGAAGGCTAACTGAAGGGCTTTCAGATGACAGGCATAGTAAATCACAATTTCAAAGAGAAGGCTATTTAAAGTTATTTCATTACTGTACCTTATCGCCCTTTTTTACTGTTCTGGTTGTCAATTTACTGATGGCTTTCTTGGCTGCATCTCCAAGACGACGCTACAGAAATGACAAATAAAGACAGACATTAAGTATAAGATCTTCAAATGATGGTCTTTATTTTTTAATAACTGAAAGTATAAAGTCCCTGTTATCCTATACCACTCTTTGTCATATCATGTAAGGGGAGTCTAAAAGAGCAATTCAAAATTAGAAATCTGGAGAATCAAGGATATATGTACCATATATTCTGTGTTCTGATTATATAAAAAGTTTATTATAGCTGGGTGTCATAATCACATTTGCATTTTATGTTTAATAAATATGTTAAATATGAATGTATTATCACAATCTAATTCTGTGTACTCCAAAGATACTACTCCTGCTCTAACAGCTTTTCCACTATGCTCTAGGGATGATCACTGTTTGGGATACAAACCATCCTAGCAAAAGAAATATTCAGTGCTCCTTCAAATTTTTATTACAGCATCTACCATGGTCACAAGTTCTACTCTTGCTCTGCTACTACTATGCTCTGTAACTTTAGGAAGGTACATTTACCTACCTACCCAGGGTCAAATTATTCTCATTTGAGAGGGTTAACTCAGATACTATCTCTAAAACTAGATTTATCCAACATTTTGCCAGACATTGCTAGCAATGCCAGATACTAATGACCCCAAAAGGAAAGACAGTAAACCCCTAGCCTCGAGACACTGTCTGCATTGGGAAAAGACTAGTAAACATATTCTAACCTAATGTATAAGACAGGCCACTCTGGGTGGGATGACAGGAAAAGGAGACAACCTCAGTTAGGTTGGGGACAGAGCATAGGAATGTCAGGGATGGATTTGAGGAAATGATGCCAAAGCAAAGACTTGGAAAACCAAGAAGAAAGGAGTTAGATAAGACCATAGAATTAGGAAGCGGGGTTTTAGCAAAGGAAGTTTGTAGACCTAAAGAAAAACTGGTGTAAAAAACAGGTGTGGGAAGGGATGTACACTTTAATTTAATTAATGTGAGTAGCTATGTGAGTGCTCAAATCAGAATGCTTTGTGAGTCAAGAGTTCACACTGGGAGGATGGGTACCAACTGAAACTGCCCCAGGCATACTGGGAGAGATGGTCATTTATATACAACTATAACTGAAACTGTGAGCAGAGGCAGATGCTGAAGCTAAAGAAATAAGGTTAGGACTAAAATAAGGGGGAGACTTCAGATTCTTTCAGGGGGATTTTTAAAAAATCACATTTTTAGACCACACTACAATTTCCCTAGTTATCTACAGAATGACTTTTAATAGTTGACTTATTTGAATCAGGATACAAATTCAAACACTACACTTGGTTCCTAAGTCTCTAAAATCTCTTAGCCTGAGTTCCGTCTATCATACTCCCCCCCCCATTTTTAATAGTCTTATGGAGATATGACTTAATTACATATACTTAGAGGGTACACTTTGACATATATTAAATATTACACTTTGAAACTCTATGTACTTGTATTTTCAAGAACTACTTTAGTTGCATCCTCTAAATTTTAATACATTTAATTCATTTTCATTCAGTTTACATTGTTTTCCAATTTCCCTTTTAATATCTTCTTTATCCCATTAATTGTTTAGAAGTTAATTTCCAAATATTTAGGGTATCTCAGAGATACTTGTTATTGATTTCTTACTTAATTTCAAGTGGTTAGAGAACACATTTTGTGTGAACTTGAATCCTTTAAGGAATCTACTGAAACTAACTCCAGAGGATGAGGTAGAAGGAATTCAAGTTTGAGGTCAGCTTGGGCAACTTAGGGAGAGCCTATTTAGAGAAAAAAAAAAAAAGAATAAAAGAGACTGGAGATGAAGTTCTATGGTAAAATGTTCCTGGGTTTAATCCCCAGTAGCCGGGTAGGAGTGGGGAATAAGAATCTATTGAGATCTGTTTTATGGTCTTGAGTGCACTTCAAAAGACTGTGGATCCTACTTTTGCTGGATGGCGTTTTCTATAAATGTCAATCAGGTCACATTTGGTATTTATGTTATTTGTATTTTATATACTTACTGATTTTTCGGTCTATTTATTTTTCTAGTTTTCAAGAGGGGTTTTGAACTCTCCAACTATAATTATAGTTTTATTTATTTCACACTGTAGTTCTGGGTCCTCACTTCAAGTTTTTGAAGCACTTTTACTAGACACATAACCATTCAGGATTATAACATCCTCTTGTTCAAGTGACCAGTTTATTAAGAAGTCAATTTTATCCCTGGCAATAACTGCCCTGAAATCTACTCCAGTATTAATGTAGCCACTTCAACTTTAATTTGTGTTGGTATGGTAAAACTTTTTCATCCTTTTAACCTATTCATATTTTTATACTTATTTGTTTATTGTAGTGTTTGGGATCAATCCCGAGGCCTCATACCAAGCTCTGTATCCCAGTCTCTTAATCTCTGCTTCAAATGAGGGTATTTAGGCATATACTTTAGTGTGATTATGGATATGGTTATGTTTAAGTCTATCTACTTGGTATTTGTTTTCTATTCCCTTTTCCCCTTTTTGGGCTGAGAAATTTAATGGTTTTAATGACTCCATATATCTCCTTTGTTGATTATTATTTTAAAAATATTTATTCTTAAGTTTTAGGTGGATACAATATCTTATTTTACATTTATGTGGTGCTGAGGATAGAATCCAGTTCCTCATGCACACTAGGCAAGCTCTCTACCACTGAGCCACAGCCCCAGCCCGATTATTATTCTTATTTGTGTTATTTTAGTGGTTGCTTTAGGATTAACATATATATATTTTGGTACCACCAATTGAATCCAGGGGTGCTTAACCACTGAGCCATATCCTCAGCCCCTTTCATCTGTTTTTTCATTCATTCATTCATATATTTATTTTGAGACAGTTTCTAAGTTGATTAGGGCCTAAGTTGCTGAGGCTGGCTTTGAACTTGCAATCCTCCTGCTTCAGCCTCCTAAGACATGAGATCATACACATGCACCACCATGCCTGGTTTAACCCATACATATGTAATCACAGTTGAACTTCAAGTAATTATACTCATCCTGTACAATATGAAAGCCTTATACAGTATACTTTGATTCCTCTCTTGGCCTTTGTGTTATTGTTATCCATTTTACTTATAAATAAATTTAACATACTCTACATAGTTATCATGTTTCAATTATCTTTTTAAGTCATTAAAACATACATAACATTAAATTTGCCATCTAAACCATTTTTAAGTGTACAGCTTAGTGAGTCAAATATACCACTGTTGTGCATCTCAAACTCTTAACCTTACAAAACAAAAACAATATGCATGAGATAGCTACTCCCCAATCTCCTTTCCTCCAGCCCTTGGCAACAACCATTTTACTTTCTGTTTCTATAATTTTGACTATTCTAGCTACCTTATAAGAGGAATCAAAGTGTTTTTCTTTGGCATATTTCACATTGCATAAAATCTTCAAGCTTCATCCTCATTATAGCAAGTCTCAAATTTTCCTTCCTTTTTGAAGGCTGAATAATATTCTGGTTCTATGTATATGTGACATTTTATTTATCCACTTATCTGTAGATGGGATCTTGGGTTGGGCTACTTCTGCCTTTTGCCTATTAACAATTATGTTGCTATGAACATGGGTAAAACAATGATCTATTTGAGTCGGTTTTCTATTCTTTTAGGTATGAAACCAGAGTGGAGTAATTGCATCATATTAAAATTAATGCTGAATGTTTTGAGAAACTGCCATATCATTTTTCACAGCAGACACATCACTTTACATATGTACTGGCAATACACGAGGTTCTAATTCCTCCAGATTTATGCCAACTGTTATTGGTTTTTTGTTTTTATATTAGCCATCCTAATGGGTGTCCAGTGATAACTCATTATGGTTTGATTTGCATTTCCTTAATGATTAGTGATATTAAGCATCTTTTTATGTGCTTATTGGGCACTTATATTTTCTTTGGAGAAGTATATATTTATTCTTTGGTCTATTTTTAGGTTTTTTTTTTTTTTAACTGAACTACATACAGTACAGTAAAAAGTTCTTTAAGTAAAGAGTTCTTTAAATATTCTGGATATTAACCTCCTTAAGATTTGGAAATATTTTGTTCCATTCAATGGTTGCCTTTTTGTTGTTGATTTTTTTAATGCATAGATGTTTTTATTTTTTATGTAATTTTATTTATTTCATTTTTTATTACAGAATTCTAGTTACACATAGAAGCTGGGTTCATTTTGATAAAATCATAAATGCATGGAATTTGATTTACTCCATTTCAGTCCCCATTTTCCCCACTTTCCCTCCTCTCGTCCTCCCCCTATTCTCCTTCCTCTATCTTACTATGCATAGATGTCTTTAATTTTGATGTATGTACTTCACTGTATCAATTCCTCCTCATTTCCTTTTGGTACCAGGACCAAGAAATCAATGCCAGATTCGGTGTTACAAAGCTTTTCTCCTACATCTTATTCTAAAATTTTATAGTTCTGGCTCTTGTGTAGAGGTCTTTGGTCCATTCTGAATTAATTTTTGTAAACAGTGTAAGAGTTCAACTTCATTCTTTTGCATGTGGACAACCAGTTTTCCTACCACTGTTATTAAAGACTTTCCTAACCCCAATGAATGATCTTGGCACCCTTTTCTATTCTACTGGCATACAGATCTGTCTTTATGCCAGCACCAAACTGGGTTGATTGTAACTTTGTAGCACAATTTAAAACTGGGAAGCATGAGACCTTTAACTTTTCCTTCTTTTAAAAGAATTTTTAGCTATTGAGGATCTCTTGAGATTTCATATATATTTTAGCATGGATTTTTCTATTTTGGAGAAAAAATAGCATTAGGATTTTGATAAGGACTTCAATGAATAGCTGGATCACTTTAGGTAGTACTAACATCTAAATAATTTAGAATATTCAATTCATGAACACAGGATTTCTTTGCATTTACATGTTGAGCATTCATACTCAGAAAATCTGAAATCCAAAATGCTCTGAAATCATGTTCTCAGAACATTTTGGATTTTGGAACATCTTGAATTTCAGAT